AATGTAAACAAAATTCTTCACAGGAGCAAAGCTGGTTGACTAAAACAACTAAACCAACTATCTAAGAAGAGAGATCTTCTTTTAAATAAAAGTTCCTTGTTATTCCAGACATAATAACTGTGTGGACTAAAGTTATGCTTGTAAACAAGAGTCCGTGCTAAAAAAGCTCGACGATGAACAGCAGAGATTTTTAAAGGGATTTTATCAAAATTACAAGTAAGGAAAAATTCACCTAACTTCAAATTTCAAAATTCAAATTTTATTTGTCACGTACACAGTCATACACAGTACGATATGTAGTGAAATGCTTGGACAACTGCTTGTGACCTAAAGAAAACAAAAAAGGAAAAGGCTATGAATGAGATAGGAAATAAATATGAAAAATTAAAAAGGGTAAATTTAACTAGGAAGGAATAAAATATAAATTAAGGTTAAAAATGAAATAACTGTACAACACAAATTAGAATGAAGGGTAAATTTAACTGGGAAGAATAAGATAAAATATATAAATTAAAGTTGAAAATAACTGTACAACAAAATACACAATATAGAACTATATAAGAATGTATGAAGAAATCTAAATATAAATAAATATATACACAATAACAGCAGCTGTACAAGTATTAACTGGAAATGAAGAATATAGTGACCAGTGTTGTGCAAAACCAAAGTCCAGAAAGTCCAGTGTGTGTGTAAGAACCATATGTGTGGGTCAGGACTGTGTGGTGGTGTGATTGCATGAACTTAACTTAGCATGAACACAGGTATAGTTTTCCAAATGGAAGATAATTCGATTCTTTAACCAATTTATTTTGAATGTGTTATTTAAAGTGTTTAAATTAACACATTAAGCGTTGACAGAGTTCATAAGAACTGTTTTTAATGCCGTGTCCTATTTTTCCAGATAAAGTTGAAAAGTAACTTATCAACCTCGTTTATGAGTTTTTTATCAAGGTGCAACCTTCTGCTTCAGTTATTAATACTCTGCCTTTTAACGACAGATCTCTAAAGAGCCACTGATTGAATCTGTGTTTGAGTTTCTCTAGAATAGGAAATGTTGACCTGATGTCCTTCTACAGAGCTGAGACTGGTCAGGGGATCGTCAGCTGATCTTTACTCTGGATGGACGGCAGCGCGGTGTGAGGAGGACTCGTCACGGCGCTGCTGCTGTCAGGCACAGAGACTGGCCCATCAAGACTCACTCTCATTTCATCAGTCCATAAAACCTTAGAAAAACCAGTCTTGAGATATTTCTTGGCCCAGTCTTGACGTTTCAGCTTGTGTGTCTTGTTCAGTGGTGGTCGTCTTTCAGCCTTTCTTACCTTGGCCATGTCTCTGAGTCAAATCAAATCAAATCACTTTTATTGTCACATCACATGTGCAGGTACATTGGTACAGCACATGTGAGTGAAATTCTTGTGTGCGAGCTTCACAAGCAACAGAGTTGTGCAAATACAATAATGTAAACAAGCAAAATACAAGAATGGCTACATCTGAAACTAATAAATATATGTACAATATATAATAGTACTGGATGTGTATACTAAATGTTTTTCTACGTGTGTGTGTGTGTGTGTGTGTGTGTGTGTGTGTGTGTGTGTGTGTGTGTGTGTGTGTACACATATTTTACAAATTAAATAGAGTCAACAATAAATAAAATATACAGAGTGAGACATGTGCAAAACAGTGGCGTTACTGTACAGTATGGAGTGCATAATGTTAAAGTTCCAGTAGTGAAGCTGAGGTGTCTATGACGTGTTCAGCAGTCTGATGGCCTGATGGAAGAAGCTGTCTCTCAGTCTGCTGGTACGGGACCGGATGCTGCAGAACCTCCTTCCTGATGGAAGCAGTCTGAACAGTTTATGGCTGGGGTGACTGGAGTCCTTGATGATCCTCCCCGCTTTCCTCAGGCAGCGCTTCCTGTAGATGTCTTGGAGGGAGGGAAGCTCACCTCCAATTATCCGTTCAGAGCACCGCACTACTCGCTGGAGAGCTTTGCAGTTGTAGGCGGTGCTGTTGCCATACCAGGTGGTGATGCATCCAGTGAGGATGCTCTCAATGGCACAGTGATAGAAGGTCCTGAGGATGCGGGGGCTCGTGCCGAATCTTTTCAGTCTCCTGAGAAAGAAGAGGCGCTGCTGCACCTTCTTCACTGTTTTGTTTATGTGTACTGACCACGTAAGATCCTCAGCCAGATGTACACCAAGGAAGCGGAAGCTGCTCACTCTCCACAGCAGCGCCGCTGATGGTGATGGGGGTGTGTACTTCTCTGCACCTCCGGAAGTCCACTATCAACTCCTTTGTCTTTGCGACGTTGAGGGTGAGATGGTTGTCTTGACACCAGTGGGTCAGGGCGCTGACCTCCTCCCTGTAAGCCGTCTCATCACCGTTGGTGATAAGACCCACCACTGTAGTGTCGTCCGCAAACTTCACAATGATGTTGGAGCTGTTAGTGGCTGTGCAGTCGTAGGTGTAGAGTGAGTACAGGAGAGGGCTCAGTACACACCCCTGTGGAGCACCAGTGTTCAGTGTGATGGGGGATGAGGTGATGCTGCCCAGTCTGACCACCTGGCGTCTGTCAGACAGGAAGCTAAGGATCCAGCTGCAGAGGGAGCTGCTCAGTCCTAGATCCTGCAGTTTCCTGTCCAGCTTCGAGGGAACGATGGTATTGAATGCTGAGCTGTAATCTACAAACAGCATTCTCACATACGTGTCTCTCTTCTCCAGGTGTGACAGGGCAGTATGTAGTGTCAGGGCTATGGCATCATCAGTGGACCTGTTGTGGCGGTATGCGAACTGTAGAGGGTCCAGTGAGTCGGGTAGTGCAGAGCAGATGAAGTCCCTGACCAGCTTCTCGAAGCATTTGCTTACGATGGGGGTCAGGGCTACAGGTCGCCAGTCGTTCAATGAGGAGATGGTGGAGGATTTGGGTACAGGGACGATGGTGGCCATTTTGAAGCAGGCTGGGACTACAGACAGAGAGAGGGAAAGGTTGAAGATGTGCGTGAACACTCCAGCCAGCTGAGCCGTGCATGACTTGAGGACGCGGCCGGGAATCCCGTCCGGACCAGTAGCTTTGCGTGCGTTCACCTTCCTGAAGCACTTCCGCACATCCTCCTCAGACACAGTGTGCGCACTAACGTCATCCGCGGTGCGCACACTGTCCGGTCTCATGGTGTTCGCTGTGTCGAATCTAGCGTAGAATACGTTTAGATCCTCACACAGAGAGGCCGTGGTCTGCGGTGTGCTGGTTTTCCCTCTAAAGTCTGTGATCGTGTTTAGTCCCTGCCACATACTCCGAGGGTTGTCAAACTGTTGCTCCACCCTGTCCCTGTACTCACGTTTGGCTGCTTTGATCGTCTTCCGGAGTTGGTAATGTGCGTGTTTGTAGTCCGATGTGTTCGCGGAGGCAAAGGCGGTGTTCCGTGCCGCCAGTGCCGCGCGGACATCTCCGTTAATCCAGGGTTTTGATTTGGGAAGGAGTATTGCACACCTTGTGCTTTTGGGCACTCCAGTGATGTTGCAGCTCTGAAATATGGCCAAACTGGTGGCAAGTGGCATCTTGGCAGCTGCACGCTTGACTTTTCTCAGTTCATGGGCAGTTATTTGGCGCCTTGGTTTTTCCACACGCTTCTTGTGACCCTGTTGACTATTTTGAATGAAACGCTTGATTGTTCGATGATCACGCTTCAGAAGCTTTGCAATTTTGAGTCTGCTGCATCCCTCTGCAAGATATCTCACTATTTTTGACTTTTCTGAGCCTGTCAAGTCCTTCTTTTGACCCATTTTGCCAAAGGAAAGGATGTTGCCTAATAATTATGCACACCTGATATAGGGTGTTGATGTCATTAGACCACACCCCTTCTCATTACAGAGATGCACATCACCTAATATGCTTAATTGGTAGTAGGCTTTCGAGCCTATACAGCTTGGAGTAAGACAACATGCATGAAGAGGACGATGTGGACAAAATACTCATTTGCCTAATAATTCTGCACTCCCTGTATACCAAGTTTATTGTTAATTAATAATAAACTGCAGACGATTCCATTCTGAGCTGAAGAAGCTTCTGATTGGTTCGTAGAGTCCATGTGAGTAAACTGGTGGCACAGCTGTGGATGCATATAAGGCAAAACACAGAGGCTGTTTCTGTGACATGGGAACATCAAGAGATGTCAACAAAACACCAGGAACAGAACTGTGGAGCTGCATAAGTGTGGCTCAGTTTGAATACAATTTGGTGCCATTTACAATTAAGAAATACAGACAGTTTCTCTCTTTACTCTTAAAGTTAACAAATATGTTTTTATATTTATCTAAAAAATAAACATTTAGTCTGATTTGATGTTACAATTAAAAAAGTGTTTTGATCTGAAGAGTAAATATCTGGTTTCAACTGTAGATTTGATGATTGTCAGCACAGAGAGGGAACAAGAGCAGGTGAGACACACCTGTTAGTCACATGGTTGTTTACCAAAAGTATCACCGTATCACAGGTCCTCATGTATCTCGTACCTCGTGTTTCTTTTTAGGTTTGTTATTTTTCAAATTCTATATTTATTAAGTTCTGCAGGCTTGTTTGCACAACAAGGATAAATAATTATATAAACTTTTCTCAATCTAAATATTGTACTTTGGTAGAATTAAAAAATAAGTGTAGTGCAGGTCTATGATGATTTTTAGTGCTGCTATCATCTAGTTCTGATTCTGGTTCTGTCTTGGTTAAGTCCTCAGTAGTCCTGATTTTGAACTGTTGTAGTCCTGTTTTAATTCTGGATCAGTTCTGGGTCTGGTTGAATCGGGGTTTAGTCCCTGTGTCTTGATACAGCCCGACTTTGTTCTGCCTTGCTGCTTAATTAAAAAACTAGTTTAAGGTGTCCTGCACATGTGATATATATTTTTCCCTCTATGAAGTCATTCTTTTTTGAACAAAACTCAAAACAGAGCCAATTAATCTTTCAGTCATTTCTAACCCCCCCCCCAAAAAATCCCACATGCATACCACCCTTTAGGGCTAAGCCCCGGGTGTTTCAAATGTCTGGCTCCGCCTCTGATTCAGACGTCGGCTCAGACTCGGGTGTTTCAGCTGTTTCCGGTCGTTTGGTTTTAGAACAACCTAAATTTAAATTCTTCTTCTGTTGAAATATCTGCAAACAGCTGACGGCTGTCACGTGACCCCGGCTGACGCCGTTGCTATGGTGACGGATCGCAAACGCGGAGGTCACAGTCGCGGGTCTGCAGCGGCTCTCCTGAACGGTAAGACCGGAAGTGTCTGACCTTCACCTGCGCCCACGTTAACGGGAAACCGGGGCGACGTCACTGCGCGCGGTGCAGATCAAAGAGCCGCTCGGCTGGCTTTGAGTTAAATATAATTACATTTGGAAACGAGGGTCCACGAGCTGTCATCAGACACGCGCTGCTGCTGTTGCCTAGCAACGGCGCCAACTGCCGGAGACGCTCAGGACAGAAACTTACTGCAGAAGCCTGAGTGTGGCAAGCAGGTGTGGGCGGGGTCACCTGTGAGGGTTTACCTGAGACAGGAGGACCCGTCGATGGCCTCCAGGGGCAGCCAGTCGTGTTGTGGGCGGTGTTAATGACTGAGCTGGGCCTCATTCACATATATGATCATTCTGATCATCCATCAGTATTTTTATGTCTATGAAAGCGAAGCTGACACTGTGAGACTTCATCGAGGCGTGAGCGTCACAGCAGAGGCCTTTGAGTCAAAGTAACAGGATCAAACAGAGTTTCCTGTCCTGGCTGTTTATAGCAAATAACCTTAAAATATTCTGCAGTAGAACAAAAACTGAAGAGCTGGAAGGAAAGCAGCAAAAGTCAAAGTGAATTCATGACGATGTTTATGTGAAGTGTCGTTTGGATCTTCTTCTGCTGCTGGTTCGGTCAGTTTTGGTCTGAGAGACAAACCTGCAGCTCAGACTCCAGCGCAAAAAAAGACGTAAACACGAAGCGCGGACGCATCACAATCTGCGGCTGTCGGCTGACGTGCGCTTTGTGTTTACGTCTTTGTGCAGAATCTGCTCTGGTTTGCTGAAATTTTGTGAGCTTTAACCTGAGATTCTGGAAAATCGTTAATCCAAACCCAGCACTGAGTACAAACAGCAGGCAGGAGGAGCACGCTCTCCACCGAGGAGGGGAGAAGGTCAGCAGCAGCTCCTGGTCCAGGTTCTTCTTCCTCAGGACACGGAGGAGGTGCAGCTGCTGCTGGCCTTCTTTACCAGGGCGATGGTGGTGTGGCTGCACAGAAACCTGAAGGTGGAGTAAAAGTAAAGTAAAATGTTATTTATATAGCACCTTTCAAGATAAGATCACAAAGTGCTTCACAGAAGTAGAAATGGACACACGACCTCAAACAAACGAAATCAACCAAAAGCAAGTTTAAACAGATACGTTTCTAACTGCTTTTTAAAAGAGACGAGTCCACAGATCAAAGGGAGCCACTGACGCTCTGTCACCTTCTGTTTTTAGCCTTGTGTGCTGGACAGCCAGCAAGCTGGTCGCATGCTGGGGCGATGAAGAAGCTCACCGATGTAAGCTGGAGCTACACCGTGCAGGGCCCTGTAGTCATGATTAGGGAAGGAGATGAACCTGTCAACGAGTTTTTCTCCACAAACGCTCCGCTTTACGACAGACACGCTTTAAACAGCGAATGCTGTCGTTTGTCCAGGGAGAGGCTTTTCACACAGGGCTATGTAGCTTTAACGGGGCCAATATGATCTCAAATAGAAAGACAACAATTATTAAAAACATTTGTTAATAAATCAACATCGTTAGAAGCAGGCAGAACAAATGAAAAACATCAGAAACGTTAGCAGCCGGCGTGCTAACAGGACAGAGGCTACTTCCATCTTTTATATACAGGCTGGTTTGGGGTCAGGTGGTAACTCTGAAAGGAGGAGCTTAAACCCGATGAGCTCATGTTTGCAGGTCTTATTTCTCACAAATACCCGTAGGAGCTAACATCCTTCTCCACCTGCTGTCCTCTCAGCGTGACGAGGAGACGAGGAGGCATCATGCCAAAGAAGATGAAGAAGAGTGTGGGGAAGTCTGACGAGGAGAGACAGGTGCACCTGCAGCAGCGCGCTCAGGCTGAGGAGGAGCTGAAGAAGAAGAAGGAGGAGACGCTCGGCCTGTTCCTGAAGGTGACACAGAGGGAACACCTGGATCACTGTAGGGGGCGTGGCCTCTTTGACTTTCTGCTGCTGGCTCTTGTTGAACGCCTCACACTGTGTGTGTGTGTGTGTGTGTGTGTGCGTGCGTTTATGTGTGCGTTTATGTGTGCGTTGTAGGACAAGCTGCAGAAGGAGCAGAGGAACACTGCTGTGAACCTGCTGAAGCTCCACGACGGCTGGAGGGCAATCCTCCGCCAGACCAGGGATGCCGAGCTGCGCCATGACATCATCGTGCTCCAGCAGACGTTTGAGAGGACGCTGGACGACCTGGACAGCATCGTCCAGGTGCTCCGCCCCTCGCCTGTGCTCACCCCGCCTCCCACACTCGTCTTACCCCGCTGACCAGACTCCTGCCCGTTTGTGTTGCAGAAGCTGGTGGGCGACGTGCAGGAGACGGAGCGCCAGGAGGCGCACATGCAGCGCTTCCACCTGCACCACATGGAGGCGCTGTGGGCGCTGCAGGCCGCACGGCTGCAGGGTCTGCAGCAGCAGTGGGAGCGTGCCCTGGAGGACGTCAGCGCCAGCGTCAGCTCTCAGAGGTGAGTCGTATGCTCCGCTCGCTCACCTGCCGTCAGCGCCTCCTCCAAGCCTGTGAGCTAAAGTCAGTCACATGATCCGGTGGCCTGAAGCCGGTGGAGCTGTGTTGACCTCTGACCCTGTGTGGCGTTTCAGGCAGCAGATGTTGGAGCAGTCTCAGCAGCAGGAGATCCAGCTGCAGGAGCTGACCCTGACGGCGGAGTTGCACAACACGGACGCCATGAATGACATCAGGATGCTGCTCGAGGACACGCTGGCGATGTACACGTGCTCTCTGGAGGAGCAGGTATGGCGCCGGCCCGTGGTCTCCCTCTACCTCTCAGGCCCGTCCGGCTGCGCTGACCCCCTCTCTGTGCACAGGTGGCTGCTCTGGAGGGCAGGGAGGAGGTGAGTGACGCCACCCAGACGAGCTTAGAGCACCTGCAGAAAAGTATCGTCAAGGTAACGCAGCTCGAGAAGCAGCTCGCAGACAAACAGAAGAAGATCAGCGAAGACTTGAAGACCACCAAGAAGCTGGAGGTCAGTGCGCTCACAACACCTCCACCTGTCTCTGAGCTGAGCTCATACGTACAGGTGTGTCACATCCACAGTCAGCTGACCCGGGTGAGCCAAACACAGTCCTGGAAACGAATTATCAGTCGTTCAGGCCACGCCCCCTAATAAATACCTTAAGTCCTAATATGATGCCTGCAGCTGTTTGAAGGAGGAGTTTGTGTGTAAACTGTAAACGTGTTCGTTTTAACACGCACTCACTGTGCTCGCTCACTTCCTGTCAGGACGCCGTCCGCAGGCTGAGGGAGAAGATGATCTCCAACAAGGCAGAAAACAGCTCGCTGGAAGAGGACCTGACCGCCACCATACATGAGCTCAACTGCAGGTCTCACGCACTCCAGGACCACCTGACCCAGTCGCACACGGCGGCGAGGAAGAGGCTCACCGAGCTCACCGTCCAGGGTGACGCCGCCGCCAAGAACCTGCAGGCCGTCGTCACCAAGGTGAAGCCCGCCTCACCTGTCTGCATCACCTGTCGGAACTGCTTCTCACCCTCCGTGTGCTCCGCTGTTTCAGGGCGAGAGGGTTCTACGGGCCGCGGACATCTGCCACCGGCTGGAGACGCAACACGACACGTTACTGACATCATCATCATCACAACGCACAGACGAGTGCCAACAGGACACGCCAGCAAAGGTAGGCTCCGCCTTCCCCAACCTGTATCCTTTTAGTTTAACTTTAGCGAGCTCCCAGGTGGGTGTGCAGCTTCTAAAACAAGCACAGTGCCAGGAAGCTCCTCCCCCACAGGTACAATATGGCCTGCAGACAGTTGTCAGCTCACCTGTCCATCGGTCTGCAGGACGTCTGTAGGTTCCCGGAACTGCAGCAGCTGCGGCGGAGCTGCAGCAGTGCTGTGCTGCAGCGTGAAGCTCTGAGGAAGCACAGCAAGGACCTGAGGCGTGAGAACGAACAGCTGCAGCTTTTGCTGCGTCAGCATGACCACCACGCCCACTTGCCCCCGCTCCACGTGGCCCGAGCTCCGACCACCACCAGCACCACACCTGCTGCGAGGGGTAGGAGCCACGTCACGGTCATCGAAGCTGCCCACGCCGTCTTGAAGCAGTGACTAATTAAAATGTGTTCGCCATGACGACCAGTAGGACGACTCCTGATGTGCTTTGAGCTTTCTTGCTAAAGGGGCGTGTCCATATAGGAGGGACCGGCCTGCAGTATACTTGAGTACTTTTAGTCGAGTATTGTGTGAAAGTCTTTGTATGTTCTCCAGTTTCCAAGTGTTTGCTGCTCTGATTGAACATTAGCTCGCTCTACAGACAAGCTTTGTTTTGGGTGAGGAACAGAAATCTGTGCAAAGCCTTTTTGTACACTCCCACCACCAGGGGGCAGAGTTTCACCAGGAAGTAGCCGCTCACCTGTTAGCATCCAGGTACCAGCTTGGATAAACAGGAAGTATAAACAGCATGATATAACTTCCGTAAACTTTTCCTGACGAGGTTTTGGTCTCAGCTGCTGTCTTTGGGGGTCTTCGGGTCGTGGCTGCTGGTCGGCCCCACAGGTGTGGCTCTGAATAACACCCAGCAGGTAGCGCCACATACAGCGAATTAAACACACAGAAAAGAAGAGAGAAAAACATGACCGTGAGGAAAAACAACTTTAAAAAGGTGAGCTTAGCAAAGGTGACTCACTGACCTGAATACCTGAAGTGACCCTCACCTGGTTACCGCTGCTAACGCTCATCAGGGCCTGGCAGGTGAGGGAAACGTGATCTGCAGATCTTTTCATGGTTTGTGGTGTCGGGTTTATTTCTCATCAGATGTTCTGACTGTGATGGAGGGTGGAGAAGTCACAAGAACTGTTTCTGCTGTGAGCCAAGCTGTTCACCAGCTAATGTTTGCAGGTGAACAGCGCCCCCCAGTGGACAGCACAAAGAAGTGTTTGAGGCCAGCAAACCAAATCCTCTTCCTGCATTTAGACTTGTTTTTAATGAAAGTGTGTGACTGAGGAATACATGAAATCTTCTTATTTGCTGTGTTTATTTAACATCTGAATAAATGTACAAGAAAACCGAAGGAGCCAGCGGGGGGATTTATTTATTAACTGCTTATTTTCAGTATTTATTACTGCATCGTCCATTATATATTCTTTTATTTTCATATTCAAATAATACTTTATTTGCTTTTTTGGGTACTTTTCCATATTTTTTAAATTTAGCTTTATTTTATTTTACAAGTTGTTATATTTAATTACCCATAATTTTATTTACAGAGTGCTGAGTCACAGCAACAGCGGTGCTTCAGACTGTGAGCCCACAGTTACAATTATCCACGCAGTGAGCTAATTACCTCATGTCTTATGTACCCCACCAGAGTGTTTTTAATGTAAAATGTACCTGAGCTTAAACACAACCAAACCGAAATCCACGCGCGGGTCAGAGTCCAAAGGGCGGCACAGATCCACAGGGACTAAAACACGGAGGAGTAAGAAAACGTGGAGGATGCGGGCATCGATCCCGCTACCTCTCGCATGCTAAGCGAGCGCTCTACCATTTGAGCTAATCCCCCGCTCACGGGGAGCATACGGGAAACGTCCTATTCAAAGAGCTCAACGCCACGTGTCAGCTGAAGCGCTGACACGTGATTAGGTTCATGTCGACGTGTGATTGGCCGGGAAACAGCAGGGTGGGAGGAGCGGAAAAAATGCAGGCAAAAATAGAAATGATGGCGGTGACAGCTCAGTGCGATCTGCTCACAGGATAAAGGCGGAGGCTGACGTCACTCAGCAGCGTTTTAAACTGTGAGACGCTTTAAAAACATCCATTTAACAGAAATACGAACAGAGGCGGCTGAAACTCAGCAGCTGTTATTAACGCAGTACAGCGTCATTAAACGTTAGAGCGGGCGCTTCCCAGGTGAGCCCCAAACAGCTGGATGTAAGTTGCACTAATGCCAGCAGAGCCGAGCTGAAGAACAAAGAGCGTGACCGCTGCCCGTCTCCATGCTGGCCCCGAGTCCAGCTTCTCGGCACCCTTACTACAGTTTTACCAACACAGTGTGTCCTTGTGTTATGGGGACATACATGTGTTCACAAAGCAGCAAAGTGGGGACCCAGGTATGGTTACAGACAGATCAGGGTTACACACCATACGTCTCCAGACCTGGTGGAAACTCGACTTCCTGTGTGTGTGTGTGTGTGATCTATCTGTGTCAGGTTTAAACTTTCTGAGGACATTTGACCCTGTGACGCTGCATCGACCGTTACTCAGTTCAAGCTTGATCATTTTTGCTTATGACATACAGCTCTGTGTACTTTACCTCATATCGTTTCTTGTCAAGTGAGGACCCTCTTCTCATAAAATACCAGCTTTAGTCTCATGTCAGGACTAACCCATAAAATTGGGTCCTTGTATTCACACGGGGACTGTTTTTGCCTCTATAAAAGCAGACGATTACACACAAACTTCAGTCTGATGTTGGGACTGTTTCACGCGACTTTTCTCATGTTTGGACGCTTTTCCTGGGCGAGTTTGTTTTTGTACAAAGACTTATCACCATATCTAATTTTAGGTCCTCTTTATGTTTTTCATTAGAAATAATGAAAATGATTATTCCCATATTATTTCCCATGAAAATAAGCCTTTATTCAAATGTCCTGTTTTTGTGGGGAGTCATGATTAATCCCCACAAAGACAGACATACAGGCGTGTGTGTGTGTGTGTGTGTGTGTGTGTGTGTGTGTGTGTGTGTGTGTGTTCAGCTGCCACATGCCAACACATCTCAGCTTTGTTCTATTTCTGCTGCAGGACTCAGTCATGGTCTTTATACAGCAGGTGAACGCACACACACACACACACAGGAATGTAGCTGGAACTTTCCATGGGTGGGTGCATGTGGGCGGTGGTCAGCGTATAAAAACAGCAGGGAGGACGGCCATCAGGCAGACAGACTTGAGACTGAAGCAGCTCGTCACAAACCAGCACCACCACCTCCACCTCCAGGATAACAGGATGTTGTGCCCCAGTGTCATCCAGATGTCCCCCGCCGCCATGACGCCTTTCCTGGACCTGCACTGGCCCGTCCGCAGCCTGTGGCCCGAGACCCGGCCGCTTTTCTACCACATCGAGCGGGAGATGATCCGTCACATGCAGGAGATGAAGCAGAGCATCGAGTTCATGGAGCGGCTGCACCAGAAGATCTTTGAGGAGATCGATCAGACATCCTCCTGCACGGGGGTCTTCAAGCCCATCGCCTTCCAGGAGCTGGGGAGGGACGGCACCACCTTTGCCCTCAGCCTGGACACGAAGGAGTTCTCCCCAGAGGAGCTGTCGGTGAAGCAGGTGGGCCGCAAGCTGAGGGTGAGTGGCAGAACGGAGAAGAAGCAGGAGGACGGGAAGGGCTGCTACACCTACAAGTGCCAGGAGTTCAGGCAGGAGTTCGACCTGCCGGACGGCGTCGACCCCGAGGCCGTCACCTGCTCGCTGTTGGGAGGCCAGCTGCAGATTCAGGCGCCGCGGGAGAACCCCGCCAACGACGGGAAGGAGAGGATCGTCCCCATCAGCTTCACCTCAGCCCCGGCCGTCACCGCCTCCGCCTCCAGCGCTGGAGCAGAGGGGAGCGGCACCTCCACCTCAGAGAGCACCCCCACAGAGAAAAACTGAAGCCTCCCAGCAGTCTTTGGTCTGTAGTTTTACGGGGACGTTTTTCACTGTTTGTAATAAACTGTCAAGTTTAGCTTTCAGCGATGACTCATCACCTACACGTGAACAGCGAAGCGCCTCCGTCTCCCTGGTGCAGCTTTATCTGCCAGACGGAGGCGACATGGAGCTGATCCCCCCACCCCCGCACTAATACTTTATTAAACGGTCCTTAGATATTCGCACCTTGCCCAGATACTGGTTTCATCACCGTTCTCTGCACTGGTAGTTCTTTTAAACTGGTTTCTCTGGCACACGTTTTCTGTGTCAGGGCTGAACACACACCCGTCTGAGCTCCAAACATCTGGCTGCTGATTGAGTTGAAGTTAAAGAACCTTCAACATTTTCCTGACATTTGCTGTTAACCCATTTTTAATAAGAACTGAACCTGCATGTGCTTCCTGGACCGTCCATGAACTGGCGGCATGCTCCTTTAACCTGCGACTGTGAGCAAATAAAGACACGAGACACCAGTTTTTCCCCTTTCTTTGTAAAATAATTCTCAATAAACTTAATTTATTCACAAACTGCTTTTCAAATTGCCATGTCGTCATTTTTTTGAAATCACATACAATAAAAAACATTTTCTAAAAGACAAGAGATGTCCGAGACTCTCGCTAACTCTGTACACGGCTCCTCCTCCTCGTCACGGAGCTTTTCTCACTTATTTTTTTTCAAACACGATGCGTTCATGACGACAGTCTCGCCGTGCTCAGACATCAGATTAGAAATATTAAGAAAAACAGCAGAAAATGAACAGAAGGACTAAAAATGTAACAGCTACAGTACACGTTTCCTTTTGTTCTCTGTTAGTTTCGTCTTTTTTCTTTTTAATGTTTACAGAATAATAGAGTATGTTTACTTAAGGCTTATGCTGAGTGTTATGGACCAATCAACAGAAACGAACCAAACCAGGAGGCGGGCGGGAAGGGTGTGTGTGTGTGTGCTTTCCTATGTGTGTAATGGGGACACTGTGTTTAATTGTGTTACAGGGACACAGTATGAATTTAGGGTTTTTCCTTTCACAAGTTTGGGAAAATTAACCTGTAGCCTTGTTTTTTTCTTACCTTCAGCACTGATCAGGACTTTCTAAGTGACACCTATCACAACTTTAATTTAAACATGTAGCACCCTGGCGTACCTCTGCCAATTTATTCTCGTGTCACAGGCGTTTTTCATGATTGTTAGGTGATTTAATCATCTTCAATGAATATACCCTAACATCTTTAATGAATAAACACAATTTCTTAATGCAAATTCAAGTTCATAATGATTGTTTAAATCAGTGACTCCCAAAATGCAGACTGGAGCCCCCTGGTGGCCTATGAAGATATTGTAGGCAGGCCGCATCATTAATTGAAATTCAGTTTGAAAATCACAAGTGTGTACAGTAACATATTCATATAAACAATAATAATAAAAGGCTCTTTGTGATATTAGTCATTACTTTCGCCTAAATTTACAGCTCTTGTATTAAAGTTTGTGTCCCAGTGCCACACCTTAGCCATAAATTGTGATATGCCTGAGTAGCATTAACAATGTACAGCCAACAGTGTGTGCTATTTAAGTTTTTAAGTGCTATTTCAAGGTAATACGTCACTCATGTCACTTTATTAGGATGAGGATTTAACCTTTAGAGGCCCATGTGAGTTTGTGGTTTTGCAGTGGGCCTCAGCACTCTGGACTTTGGGAGTCGTTGGTTTAAAGAATTCAGTGAAACCCATCCAACATTTTCTAAGATTCTTGTGCTTCTATATTTTTATGCCAAGGTAACATGCTAAAGGCATAAACATGAAGCATCAGAGGAAGACGACTGTATTTCTGAATATGTTGAAAATTTGAAATACTGGCTTCATCAGTGCTAACACAGAATCACCAGCAGATATTACATGTGACACGAAAATGTACAAACTGTCACAAAAAGTGAAGCTTTGCATTTCATCATCGATGAGTTTGAAACCCACAAAAAACTATTTGTTAATGAGATTGCAGCGCTGCCCCCTAAAGGCAGATCGCAGTAACTACACAAGCTAAAGTATTGCTAAAGTTTGAGCCAAACTAAACCTTAGTCTTACACTCTAACAAAATAAATAAATATTACACAGTGTTTTGAAATAAATACAACATCTGCATTACTCCCTCAGTTTACTTCATTAAATTTACCCACATGACTTTATCAGATACTCCTCTGGCTACTGCTGCTCTGCTAAGCTTGGCTAGTTAGCGCTTAGCATTAACAGTTTGTTGTTTATGGTGGAGTGCAGCTGTTTAACTGAGATCTTGGAGCAAAACGATGTTTTTTCAAAATAATGGAAACGGTAAAGAGCGGACACACTAGCTTTAACTTGTTTTCTCCCCCAGCGTCACGTACGTGTAACACATAACAAAGTCAAGTCTCATATAGTTACTGCGTTGAGCTTTTGTGGGGCACATGACACAAAAACGTGACACATACAAAACTGTAAAGAATGACGTGGACGCTCAGAGGACTGTTTTTGTTGTGTTTTTGAGGGTTTCAAGTTAGAATGAGAGCAAAGTCACTTTTTCAGCCAGCGTTTCCATGTTCACAGCGCACGATGTTTCTGAGCATCCAGACTGAATCCAGACTCACAGAAATGTGTAATTGCTGTAACACAGAAAACTCTCGCTGACCTATAACACTGCACCTGTAACCAAACCAACCGTGTGCGACTGGTACACCAACAGCTACACCTGCTGGGACAAACCTTCATAAAGTCCAGCAGTCACACAGAAGGAAAAGAGGCAACGTGTACTCCAAATATCAGAGACGTACTTTACTTTGTCCTGACAACTTCCTCAAAAAACTGGAGCTCGGGCTTCTTGGATGGTCTGTTAGTACAATTACCCACACAGCATGTCAGCACCTGTCGGTCAAAGAGGCCCCTGATAATACTAATGATTTACACAGGTGAGCTGGGAGTCTATGGCACCGAGTGGGTTATAAGCCCCACCCCCTCCGTGTTAGCCTAATGTGTCAAAGTGTGTTGTCATTACGCCGACGTCTGTTCGCATCAGCTCGTGTCCACTCCTTCATGTGGATCGAGCTCGCTTTCTTCAACCTGTTTGCCCGAAACTTCAAACTGTCTGGATACAAGTCACATGACCACCAGGACTGTGACGTCAGTGCCAGAACACACACACACGGTTACTCATATACTTGTGGGGACATAACTGACATAATGCTTTCTCTAACCGTAGCCGAACTGTAACCCTGACACTAAAACCACGTTCTGAGTCTCAAACATGTCTTCAAAGTCGAGGGGACGGTCCCCACAAAGATATGAATACACGCACACACACACACACGGGGGGGGGGGGTGGTTTTGGGGTGTGTGCAGCAGGAATCTGTGAACACTCAGGTGAACAACAGCATCAGTGGCTGCCGGCGCTCAGCACAGCCGCCGGGAGCCTGAACGCATCACCACGCCGAGGTCACGTGACCGGACAGGTGTGTGTGTGACATCAGATTTCACGATGAAGCGAACACGCTCGATTGTAAACGGCAGCGCCTCAGGAACGAGCGCGGAGTCGCTGAGCGTCGCCTCTGTGAAACGGGACGGCGTCCAAGTGAAACGCCGACCTGTGTTTACAACGGAACCTGAAGCAGAACGGATGAAATATCGCTCAGTCTACGTCCCGTTCTTCTCTAAGGTCAGAGGTCAGAGCAGATTGAACCCCGGTTTGTTTATTCTGACCTTGACGATGTTTTCACGCTGCAGCGGAGCAGCGGTACCACAGCTCTCCTGGAGAGTCGGTGGAATTCTGAATATATTTACAAACGTATTCGCTTTTTATTCTGGCTCTTTTTCGTGTGATGGAAGTGATGACCCCTCCCCCTGTGGCGCTGAACACTACAGTGCAAAGTTTAACCTTTAACCCCGAGACCCTTCAGACTAAATGTTTCTCCTCGGTACCTGATCCATATTTTAGTTTCCTGAACGTGACCTGACACATTTCGTACTCGAACGTTTCAGGAAGACGAGCTCGGGGTTCTGTTCTGGTTCGGGTCGGCGTGGTGATGCTGTTTCAGGACGCTGCTGCGGCATGGCGCTTGAAGGCCTGAGGCAAGGAAACTCTGTGCCTCAGAGGCAGAGCGTCGGCGCCTCAGGCTCCGGGTGAGCGTTTAACGGCGGCAGCCACATCATCACTGTCGTGTCGATCAGCTCGTCCAATGAGAGAAGGTGTTGTTCCTGAGAGCCTTGCTGATTGGTGTCAAGGAGGCGCCGAGTGTTGAGATGGTGGCGGTCCAGGAAGTGGGGATGGGGGGGTTAGATAATTTCAAAATAAAACTAAAGAACAGAGAACAGCCTTCATTTACAAATACGTCAGTTTTCTTCTATTAAGTTCAAGTCCAGCTCTGTACAGTCCCGCTCGAACACCGCCTGCTGCGCCGCCTCACGCTCGTCTGCTTCCTCCTCTCCTTCGTCGTCCTCGCGGCACTCCTCGTCGCTCTCGCTCAGCGGCCCGATGCTGGTCCTGCCCAGGCACTCGGCCGGCGAGCAGGAGCCCCGGAAGTCACCCATGAAGGGCTCCATGCCCATGCAGAGGTCGC